TTGATTTATCATTTTTCATCGACTACAGTACATATTTCAAGGACGTAATCCAATATTACTAATGTCAATTCAGTCCGGTGTCCGCTTAATAGAGGTTTTTTAACAAAAGAAATTGGCCAAATACACCTTTTTTTAGTGCCCGCGGCCGCTTACTAGAGATGTCCGCTGAATAGGGGTTCGTTATAGAGGGAAATTCGGAACCCGGCTAGGTTTCACTGTAATAGGTCTTGTGTCAAATCTTAATTTTCTTCCTTAAACATGAAATCCCTAGTGCCTAAAATCTGCGTAGCAAGCCCAGGTTATTTTTTCTAGCCAACACACTTTTTGTATATAAAAAAAATATTTTACAAGAATACCAAGGCTGAAATTTTGCGAAATTTTAAGGCTAGACAATTTTGGACGGGGGAAAGCTCTGGGGACAAAGTTGATTGTAAGAGTATTTTAAGAATAAAAACCCGAGGCTGAGATTTTGAAAAGGATGTAATTTTGTGTGTTGAGCGGAATCTGTTAATACAAATTACAATGTATATGATTTTAACTTATTCATTTCTCTAAAAGGCAAAACTACTAGCCAACAAAAGGAAAAAAAACCTGCACTAACTATAATACCAGTCATTCTAAAACGAAAATGTCATAAGCTATAACGTAAGAGTAATACAAGAGAAAAATAGGAATATTGGCCTGGGCCGGAAAGATAATATTTCTATATGAAAAAAAAGAGTGTAAAGAAGAAATTTCAAGGACTCGTGCACGAAAATATCCAAAACAAAAATAAAATTATTGGCGCCTGCAAAACCCTGGCCAAACCAGGCTATAATACACTGATCAATACAACTGAACAGAAAACTGGAAGAGAATTTCTTGATATTTGGTCAGTGATGAATAGAAGTTCCCTCTTAGATTCTTTAAACAATCGTTTCTGATTTTCTCAAATAGCTGGTTTTCCTTATACCATAGTTGATACGTCATGATGAAGTCCTTGGTGTGTCTCTTTCTCTGGTTTTCTACACTGCAAATAAGTACAAGTAAAAGGGGACCAATTTCTCCTCAGCCAGGTGATTTTGTTACGTGTCGTTTAAGTGACGATCTTAAGGAGAAATTCTTAGACTTGCACAACACTTTGAGAGGACAGGTACAGCCCAGTGCGGCCGACATGGAGTATATGGTGAGTTTTTGTGCTGTTGACTGCACTATCACGCATGTTAGGTTAGAGAGTGAACAGTTCAGTCTCGTTCTTATCAGTTACACACAAAAATTCTATTCATTAACTGAAGCCTTGTTACGATTATAGGAGTGGAATGATGACCTTGGTAACCTGGCCCAGATGTGGTCAGATCAATGTGAGTGGATGCATGGCTTTACCAAGTTTGGAGCCTGGCACCCAAATATAGCTTTCCGAAGCAAAACTGTAGGTAAGAAATAAAAAAGAAAAATGAATGAATGAAGATAGTGAAGAGTCCTGGATGAGAGGACAACAGACGTATCCTCTTACAATACATTTTATAATGTGAACAGTGAGCTCGAACGTCAGCATACAAAGGCGCCACTGGCAGCCGCTCTCAATCCATTTATGAGCTTACTGTACCCACCCAACCCATGGTGTGAATGATGTGATGTGTGAAGGTTGACCACAACACCAGGGTATACGTCCCACATGCTCGGTATTTTATTATTATTATTTTTTAAGTTTTTTATTCGCATGCGTTTGCACGGGAATCAAACGCGATCCCTCGGCGAATGAGAATATCACCTGGTAAAGACAAGGAAATACTAGGGCTGCATCAAAATGGAAATTACACACTATTATTTACCCTGAATAAATGGACAAAGTTTCAATTTGATCAAACTCAAACTTAATTTACAAAAACAAGAAAGCTGAGTCTTTTACTTTTTTGAAAAAAAATATTTTGATTTCTTGGGAACACTTTTAAGGTCTTCAGGTTCCTCCAAACCAAGGATAATAATATAAGACTTTCTATTATCCATGGCTCAACATAGCTGTAGCTTAGTGTTAGTGAGCAAACTCTCGCAAGCTTGCAATTTAACCACTGGTACGAAAACAATAAACAAGTAGTAATCTAAAAGCAGAATCCCGGTTTAAGTGCATCTAATGATAGTAACTGCAGGTACTAATAACTCACTGTTTAGTTGACAAGGTTGTAAACCCTTAAAATCTGTCTCTTTTCAAACTGCCAATAATCAGGGCAAAACCTGGCGCGAGAATGGGGAAAGTGGATTGACAACAAAAACGCTGGGCCTGAGGATTCCGTGCGTAGATGGTTCAATGAGAGAGATTATTATTCATTTGGCAAATTTGCTTATCCAATGCCACAGAGCATGTGTACTAGAAAGCCGTGTGGACACTACACTCAGGTACTACTTGATCGTGCTATTTTAGTAAATAGTTCAGAGAGCTGAACCTTGAAAAAGTCTATTTCATTCAGGTCAAAATGACCGGGCCTGCCATAGTCCTGCCGGCCAGTTCTGAATTTTGGAAAGCGCCCTCAGGCTTATCTTAATGAGGGGCGGATCCAGAAAATTTTAACCAGCCAATAGTTTCCATCCTTGTGCACTTTATTATGATATGCGATGCCTTTTGCAGGACATGTGACATTCTACTCGTGAAGAACCAGGCTCTAAAACATTTTTTTTTTGTGTTGTCAAGAGAGAACAAAATGATTTTGTCCAGTTTTAGTCAATTTGAACATGGTTGCAAGGCACCGTCACAGTGCTAAGTCTGTGGAACGTTATTTCCTGTTTTTAAGCATACGAAAAGAGAGTTGTTCATGCAACTCTAGGGTTGCAATTAGTAATTGACCTCAAAACAGTTAGGGAAGTACTTTACTCTTAAAAAAATCCTCCGGTCTGATAGATGGGGGTTCCAGACACCTCCCACCCCCGCCCTAACGTTCCCAATGCAAATATCGTGCAACGCAAGCACATACTCTTTTACTTCTAAAAAATGCTCAGGTTTCTTAATTCTGTTAGTTTTATCTTCTTTTCAGGTTGTTTGGGCAAGTAGCAAAAAATTGGGCTGTGCCTTCAAATGGTGTGATAAGTACTTCGGCACGCCACACCCCTGGGTACCCGGGGAGACTGTTGTCACTTGTGACTACTACCCAAGGTAAATACTTAACCAGCTAGGCCAACCAGCTACTTATGATACCAATGTTGGCCAGTATCAAGTAATGAGAAGAATGCGAACAAGCTGTTGGTGCAACGATTCATTGCACTAGTTTGGATGAACGAGCGTTTATCATGGTTGGCAGGAGTCTATGGTCAGTAGTAACCAAGGCAACCATATACCAATCATTCAATTCTGTCTATGTAAAGGATCCCAGAGACCTCTGTGCCGAAAGGTTGTACTCATTCTTCCCTCTGTTTATAAAACAATGAATTGTGTAGTATTAAATCCAGAGTACACGTATTCCTTTCCACTCATGAGAACATGCCAACAAATTAAGTAAAACTAGTTTTTAACACTTTTCAGAATTTTACAAATTTGATTTTTCGAGAGCTGAAATTCTGGCTCTCCCAAGCGTCAGTCTTCATTAATACACAAAAAATCGGAATTTCACCCTATACTATAAATGAGAAGATAAGAGTGAGTTCTAAAATGTCACTTTGAGTATACTGGAGAAGCAGGAATTTCTTTTAAGTGTGGATTTGTTGCAGCGGTAACGTGGTTGGTCAGTTTCCCTATACACCCGGCCCACCCTGCTCCAAATGTGCTAGTGGAAAAGGATGGTGTTACAAGAACCTCTGCAGTGAGTAGACTGATAACTATTGAAAACTTAACAGAACTTCCATCGAGAACTTTTGCGATTAAGCAACACAACATTTTCTTGCAATCGAGGTTCGCTCCTACTTCTTAATGTATAGACCTTTCTCACTGATTATTATTTGCATGTCTCTGCGAAATTTTGTTTTTTCTACACTTAGTTATTGCAAACTCAGTATAATATTTCGTCTATATAAAAAAGGAGACTTTTACAAATTTCGTATCAATTTCCTAGTATTTTGGCAAAGTTTCTCAGCGAAATCTAGCGAGAATTCACTGGACCGTGAGGCGAAGTTAATTTACAGTATCATGTACAGTGTACTCAGTTTAACTCAAGAAAGAAGAATGGGTCAGAGAAGGAACCTTAGGGCGTTGGCCGGGATATGTCAATTTCACTTTAATCGATTAATTAAAACGTAATCAATTCCACCCGCATTTGTCTCAAAGCAAATTACAATGCAGAATATTGTAATGGAGACACACCAAGAGAGCGACAACAGCCAAAACCAATTGATTTTATGAGCAAAACAACAGCTCTGCACGTACAACACCCTTTGAGTATATTTCTTTGACGTCCACTGTACGACTACGACGTGAAAGTAAATAAACGTTTTATGGAGGACGTGAACATACGAGGACGAACTTTCCTTTTTGAACCTGGATAAAGACCGTAAGAATTCAACTCTAGGGAAAAATGACTTACATTTAACAAATAGAGCGGGTCCAAATAGACGCGATAAAGTTTGAAAGGACGCAAATTCATTGTTTTATGTACGTTTTTTTTTTTTTTTTTGCTTTCGTCGTTGCTTGAGCCCCCATTATTCTCTCTTGACAAAACTAAATAAAAAAAATTTGGACCTCCCTGGAAACCAACTTACGATTTATTTCAAGCGTTTAATTGGTCTAAGATTAACTGTGGTAAAATTCACATATCCAAAAGGACTAGACTGGGCGTTTCCTTCTCGGTTCCTCTTTGTACCACATTAGAGAGCTTTAGATTTGAGGATGAGAACGAGTACGAGTACGAAATTTAACTAGTAAAGTTTTCGCACGTGCATGTTCTAAAAAAAAGACACAGCGGGAAGTTTCATTTTACTTTTTTTAACTAAAATTTAGTACAGTTATTTATATTGAAGGAGGTTAAGCCCTCTCCCGATAGCAAAATGATCAAACTTCCTACATTTGATAACTTGTTCACGCCACTACGACATTCGCGCTAAATCCCATCGTAGAATGAGAACGGCTTTCACGTTTTCCCACCAAAATGACGGAGGCTAACTCGCGCGCAATACCTATAATATTGAGAAAACCTCGTACTCGTAGACGTCTTCGAATCTAAAGCTCTCTATTCTCTTGTGTGCAAAGGCACACATCACTAAAAGTTCGTTGTGATTATTCTAACAGGCTCCAGAGGCTCAATAAAGTGTGAATCCCAACCTCTAACCAGTTGTCAGTGAAATTCCGTGAAGCGGCCGTCGATGATAGATAAAAATGAAAATATAGCTAATATATTCTGTTCACAGGAGAGTGCAAGGATTTCAGCCCCAAATGTGGAGGGACATACACAAAAGGCATGTGTCTCTCACATAAAGATCTCATGGAAAAACACTGCCCTCGAATGTGCAACATGTGTAGTGAGTAGCTTCACATTAGTTTCTAAATAAAAACGCAGATAACAGAAGACGCGGGCGTTTCAATGTTTTTTTTTTTACTAAAAACTCGCAGTTAGAATCTTAACGATACACAGGGCGGGGGATGAAATCATTTGCACCGTGATTTAGTCACACAGATATGATCGCGATACGTTTCGACTGTTTACTATTATTACATAGTCAAGCGGCATCACCATTTGCAGAGAAATGGTCAGCTGTGATTGGTGGATTCCGCTTCTGGGGCCTGTTTCTCGAAAGTCCCGGTAACTTTAAGAGACGGAAATCAAATATTCAGATCCAAATCTAAAGAACAAAAACGCTGTTCCCAGCTGAGGAACCTCTAAATTTTATTTCACGGCTTTACCTATAGTTAAATCATCTTCAATTCAAATTTTCTCTGCAAAACTATGGAAACAACGATCTTCTATGTAAACGACAACAGCATTTCGGGCCCGTTTTAATTATCGGGACTTTCGAAAAACGGATTCCAGAAGCGGAATCCAATACAACTGACAACTGAACTATATTTTTAATCTCTTACCATAAAAATAATTTCTATCCCAGAATGTCAACTACAGTGCAAGAATGGAGGGCAAATCGATCGAAAAACTTGTACCTGTACGTGTTACGGAAAGTGGAAAGGCTCAGATTGCACTGGTAAGGACTGAGCTGCTTTGCACTGGGAATGTTTTGTTATGTCTATCTAAGTCAATAGGTAACAATTTTTGACGGCGGTTAAAGTATATCACTGCGACTGATAGTGTGTTTAGAGTAAAGGTGTTAGCCATGAAATACGAATAATTCGTGCGAGCAAAAGCATGGAGGATCATGAATACTACCCGTGCTCGTCTCCGGCATAAAGGGAAGGGAAGCGAGTTTTAGCTCAATTGGACAGGTGGAGCGCTGGTCTTCAGGACGAAACGTTGAGGGCTCGATTCTCTTAAAGCAGCGTCCTTAATAAATACTTACGTGCCAGAATACAACATAAAAGGGAAAACATTCGGGCGATCGATATTCCCCTGTATAATGACTTTACTCAGGCACACAGAAATCGATTGGTCTAGCTGGTCTTTTCAAATTCTTGGTGCACTAGGCTCATGGAGAGGATGCGATTTTCTTAAGTAAGGATTTTGTTCACAGACCGTTGACAAATTTACATGTTACTCTTTTCCTTAGAGAAGATCTGTGATCAAGGATGGTACGGGAAGAACTGCGAAAGTAAGTTTTCACACAGTATCATAAACAACCCTCATGTCATTATCAGAAAATGCTTCGATACGTGATTCACTACCATCTTGGTGTAGTACAAAAAGTAAAACTAGGCCCCTTCCTCATCCCCTTTTCCCCCGCCTCTTCCCCTTCGAAGTCTGGTTTTCAACTAATGGGACTCCGCAACACTGCTAAGGCCTGGTGCGCGCAAAACATAACTAGATTGAGTGGATCGAGAAGCTAAGTTATCAAAAACAGACTTTAATGCGTGCGAAACAAATTTAATGTAAATTGTTGCTCTGACTGACTATGGTATCCGTCAAAATGGCCCAATGGCATGATGAAGGTGTATAAGAAGGTAAGGTATAGAAGTGCGTGCTGGGCAAACGCGGCCTTAAAGTTGCTTCGGATCTGTTATCTCACATTCTGCTGCTTGGAAAAAAAAAATAAAAAATAGAAATTTCACATTGACTGACTATTACAACTCTCTCCACTTTCTTGACCTAATCGTAGAAAAATGTATGGACAAAGTGGAAACAAGTACTTGTAAATGGAGAGTACAGAACGGTCACGCCTGCTCACTGGGTTACATGAAGTATGAATGCTTTAAAACCTGCGTTTGTGGTATGTTATATTTTTCTCAAATTTTAAATTGCGATAACACTGTTACTAATAATTGGCAGTTATTGAATGAGGCTGAGTAGAATATGAAGAATTATGCAGATCGAGGCGGATGTTATCCACCAAGGCAATCAGAAGCGGCGAAATATTTTGAATAAATAATAAATAACATTTATTTTCCCTTGACAGTATTGCAATTATTAGCGCAATTGCAAGGCCGAGCAAATCAGGAACTGAAACATGAATTCAAATGGAACACAACAAGGTTTAGAGTCCCAGCTGGCCACAGGCAAACTAGTTGGCTATGTCACAAGCGTGGCCGAGGAGTTAATCTCGGGACTACCGAGAACAAATCCAGCTAGCGGTCAGGGTAGGACTTGAACTCGGAACTGCTGAGTTGCAAGTTCAACTCTCTAACTTAACCGCTCGGTCATCATAAGGCAATCAGCTTTTGTTGGTTGTTATAGAGGCAGTTGTCTTGGCCAAACCATGCATGGCTTTTATCTTTTTGTACTATTATTAAACCTCTCCAAAAAGGATGAGAACAACCCCGATAGTATGGTGAATTACTTTTCATGGCTCAAATATATACCAAAATTCATCGAGAATCTGGCTCAAACAAAAATCATAAAAGCATATTGCATTCTTTAAAAGATTCATCTGAGAATCTGTTTAAAATGAATGTCAAATTTCAGAAAATTACATCTTACACATACAGTTTTCAGAATTGTACCTGTGTAATCATAATTCTTGTTTTTGAATTCATTTTCGGACTTTGCCAAGATGTATTACATTTGCAATATTCTTTAAAACTATTCTGGTACAAGGTTTCTGTCCACTAAAAATTGAAATTACTTTGTTTACAACATTTTTGAACGTTCTTAACCTTTTTTATTGCCAAGATGTAAGGTTTAAGGCTCAGTTATAGCACTTTGTTGCCAACAGAACGCCTATCCCGTGGACATGGCGAGCCCACCTCCTTGCCCCACCCTGCATGAATGTTGTTCAGTCGGTGTCAGAAATGATCCATCATTATTGTTTCTTAACGTTTTTGTTCAAGATGGTAGCTTATTTCCCACTGGGTGTGATTTGTAAAGTAGCAGCTTTCATTATCATGTTTCAGTGCAATGTCTTTAATTTATTGACAGATCTTATGCCGACGCCACAACCAAAAACTCGTCCTACTGTGGTGACTCAACCGACGCCCACTACTCCTCCAGCACTCACCCACCCTATTCCGACAAAGAGTCCACCAACAACAGGTACGAATGAATATTTTTTCTGCTAGAGGGCCTTTGTCACTGTTTCACCGGTCATTGCTGATGTGCCACTTACAAAATTGAAAGCAAAGAAAGTTCAAAATGTTACTTTCAGTTGGTGCCCATAGAAAAATTACCTGAAGACTGAGAAGATATCCGAATGATAAAGAATAGAGTTTGACGGAACAGTGCCACAGCAGCCGTCTTCAGCTGTTCCAGCCGTGGTTCCCATGTCTTTGAGACTTGCCAAGGATGACTTTTTTTATCTATTTTACTACATACTTTTCGTAAAAAAAAAGGGTGCTCCGTCTTACAGAGCTGCGTGTCGCACAGGAAAATCAACCGGTCGTCTACCGACTGTTTCAGTACTAGGAGACAAAACACAAACAGATGCTTCTAGGGTAATGTGTACAGGTTTTTAAGATCTAGGAGCTGTGCAAGTAACAGGAGGTCGCAGGATTCGATAGGGTTTTACCGGTTGACTTGATTCTTGTATGCTCCTGTCTTTTGTTTTCAACGTATTTGTTCAAAGCACAGTCGCAAAAACGTTGTTGTAAAAAGAAAAACCGAAAGATTTAACTGAAAAAGAGTTTTGGTTTGTTAAAAAAACAGATAGGGAAGAGGAAAAGTTCAGCAATTCTCGTACGGAGTCAAATCTCCGCAGGTAAGGACGTTATAGGTAGCTAAGGCTAAATCGATCAAAGTTACAAACTTATCAACTTAGGAAGTTTAAAAAGGATCCTCAAAATCAGCTGTCAAAATGTGTTTGTTCGTTTGTTTCTCCGCCACTCAAACTTTAATGTAGAGCTGCTGTGTGCCGGGAGCGAGTGTTTTAACGTAGTCTGTTATATCCAACTAGCCCACCGGCCCGGAGGTAACGCTTCAGTACTGCAAGCAGGCAATGACAGGACCTTTATCATTAATTTACAGAATGTAAGGACACTTGCTCTTTGCACTGTGAGTTCTGGGCAGGTCTTGGGGAATGTAAGAAGCACGCAGACTGGATGAGAAGTAAATGTATGAAGAGTTGCGGAGTTTGCAGTAAGAACATACAATTTGTTTATTTCCCTTGATCCGACATACTGCGCGGAGACAAACTCCCCAATACAACAGTAACAAATTTAAATATGTGTAATAGCTAAAAGTGGGAAGTTTAAGGCTCTTTAAAGATGAAGAGGAAATTGTGCGACCACGCGCGGGAGCATCTATCCCCTTATATGACAGCACGGGATGTGCCACATCGCGGCAAAATTGAAATTAAACCCCTTGAGAAAAATCAAATATCCAATGCGTGAATCACAAGTATCATCTGAACCGCGAACAGACATCATTCCAACGCAGGCAACCAAATACAAACAAAAATTGATCATCATGCCTCAGGGGCACCCAACGAGAATATAGTTCAAAACCACCTATTGTAAACATAGCATTGTTCAACGACTGTCTTGTTCAACGTATTTTAGTATTTAAACGGTAGATATAGGCATATTTTTATCCCCTAAAAATTTTTCATCTGTTCGGATTTCGAAAAGTCAAATATCCAAAATTCGGATCAAAACTCCTTTTCGAAAATTTCAGCCATCATTTAGGTGACCGTTTTAAGGTAAAAATTCACCATTCCATATTTTAGATGTTCAAAATCCTAAATAGGCAAGCAAACAAAAACTGTTCCGTGAATTCTAGATCTCAAATCGTCTTCCGATCAGATATTTTCCGAAAATTGACGTTGGGTCAGGCCCCTGATGCTTCCCTCTTTCTTCTCCGTTTTGTTATTTCTTCACGCACAGTTTTAAGAGCTACCTGTTTGGGTCAAACAAACCCTCTACTTGTTAAACTATGGTTCAACATACACCAGTATTTCTCATGTATTTCTCTTGTTATTTCTCATATTTCTCGTCACCTAAACAACATTGGATAAGGGGAGGGGAAAAACAAGCATTCATTTGGTGATTTTTGGCAGGATGACACCAAAAATAAGTATTTTTGCCATGAGTTTTAACAGATTTTGCCCGAGGTTGTGGTTGTTCCTATTTTTTGTCAACACCCTTACTGATACCAAACTGCAATTTAAACCCCCAACTTTGAAAAAAATGTATCTTCGTGGCTTTCATTGAGATATAACATAAGAGGTTAGCGTCCTGGGGAGGGCCACCACCAATTTTAGCTATCTTAATGCTCAGGTTCATGTGCCTTTAAAGTCCTGATACAAAGTGAAAAATTGAGTAAACGAACATAGCACTGGTAGTTGTCTGGGGCACCCCACGACGGTTTCCTGCTAAATACAGTGAAAACACTTTTAAGTCTAAGCGGCGCAATCAAATTTGTATCCGTTCGGTCATCCCATGGGAAATTGAGTCTTTTCGAAATTACGAGGGATTCAGTATTTTCCCGAAAATTTTAGGTGCGATTTAACATGGTAGGAAGGAGACAATTTTTCTGATTCCTCTTTCCATGAGATTTTTTAATACGAAAATTTTAGGTTTCCTTTTTTCCTATGGAAAAAAAGCCTTACCTGGGGAGTAAAAAAGTTCAGAAAAAATATTTCAGAAAATCTTAGGAAATTTATTAGATGAGCTTCGAAAATTGAAATGAAAGAAACGGTCATCTAGAAATTTTTACCTGTCCTCAAGTAATAGAAAATTCTAGGCAATATTTGTTTCTCCGAACAGTTAATTTTACAGAAAACAGTCGTTGGGTGCCCCTGAGTTGTGGCCCATCTGTGCAAGACATTACTGTAATAACGCAGCCCTAACAACCGGCGTACAGTTAGAATAATGATAGAAAGAAGTGCATAACTACCTATGTGAAATAATAACGTGAAATTAATTCCTACTGAACGCTTTTTCTTCCAGCCTGTCAAGATGTGTACAACACTGCACAATGCAGGGGATGGGCGGCCACTGGTGAATGCAGTAAGAATTCTTTATGGATGGAGGTGAATTGCCCTAAGAGCTGTCTTGTTTGCGGTAAGTAAAATTCAAGTAAACTTTTGACAAATACCTTTAACATCGTTGGTGCATGGGAAATCTACAGTGTGGAATGAGACCACTAAGGTGGAAGGGAAATAGGGACATACATACGTACACAGTCTACCGGTGGCCATTACGACACCCAAAGAAGGTTATCCGTTATCCTATATTAAGATCTCTCCTTAGAGATAACCACCCAGCCCAGGAAAGGTTGGCCCTACCAATGGGGTCTATGTCCCCTACTCTTTTAGGACAGTGGTGTGGGTACTTTACGTCCCACACAAGAACCAGATAAGTGAAAGTGCTGTGAGATGGGACCTACGGTTTCTCGTCCTTATCCTTGAAGACTAGAAAGTCTAACCGTTTGTAGATGTCATTTTAAAGGCAGATCTTTCTTCCCAGTCATTTGAAGACCCCGAGTGTTGGTCGACTCGGGGTTTGAACCCGCGACCTCCCCCTCAGCAGACTGTTGCTCTCCCAACTGAGATAACCAGGCGATATCCAAGGGATAAATCACTATTCAGGTGATGAGTATCAGTGCTTTTTTTTCAGATTGTCATGACCAGAACATCAAGTGTGGAGGATGGGTCAAAAGTGGACTGTGTGACAGCGGGAAGTATATAACATGGATGAATAAGAACTGCAAGAAGAGTTGCAAAAAATGCTGACACCATGTGGTGATCCGTATTTAAACAGTGGTCTATAGATGACTGTTTTGATTCTAGACTTTTCATAGTTGATTTTTATTGTAGGCTTTAAAGATCCCTGAATGCGTGAAGTAATCTAACATAGACTTCATACTGCCTGCAAAGCAGGTGTGTATGGGATCGGAACTAAACATGAAATGTAAGGTAATCGAAGCACCCCCACCTCCCTTACTAATTGATAAATGTATTAGTGTAAGGTAAAATCTTGTTTTGGTATTTTGTTCACTTGCTGTGGTGTGAGTATACTCACTGCCTTAGTTTTTTGGTCTGTTACACGACATAGTACCAGAGAATTAACATCTCATTTTATAAGAGAGGCAGTCACAAAATCATAAGGCAAACTGTAGATCCATTTTTTAATGCTAATAAAGTATTTTTGAGTTAATTGTCAGTATTGTATGATTCTTTTCATTAACCCTGTCTAGCTTTTATCAAGCCTTTACTGGCAAACACACCAAAATAACTTGCCCGCGCATCAGAAATAAGTTGCCCACATATCGAGACATGTAGAACTTATTTTCTTGTGTTTTGTTTTATTTCACGTCATTCTTTTTTGTTAAATATTTCACTGAAAAACCCCACGGGGACGTGAAATAAATGTACGTATGTATGTACGTATGCAAGACTAAATCACTCCTCTTTCGACCCTGATCAATCACATTTAACATTTTATTAATTGCGGGCGACAAGAGGAGCCCACAATCCTAATCTCCAGGTTGTTATTACGCATGCCTAACACGTATGTAGCCAGCATTCGTTTGGACTTCCACTAAGAATGAATGGAATGTACATAACGCAATTTGATCGCGCGCATTTGGAACTTAGATCACTCGCAATCTGATCACGCGTGTTTGACCATCTGTCACGTGAAACACACTCAAGCACAGTGTTAGAGCAAAAGAGTTTTGACCTTCGATAGTTGTCGCCCGCACTCCGTAACCTTTGGTTATTACTAGTCAGTGACTGGTATATTATATGACCTTTGTTTAAGTAAAACTTGAACATACAGTACCATGAAAATTATGATGAAATTATCTCATTTCGTTTTCTGCACTGTTACAATGCAAGTTTGGAAATGTACATCAAGTACTGCACAGAATGAATGCACAAAATATGTGACCATGTACACAGACAACCAAGGCTCCGTGACAGTACCACAGTACGAATCCAGTAAAATTACAGCGTTTGTAAAGGGTAAAAATATGATTCTAAAATTTGTTGGAAATACCAAATAAAAGTCAATGAAACTTTATACTCTGCAGTTAGCTGTTGTTGTCCTTAATACTATCATGAGTCGTCGAGTTTCAAACTCTGTAGCATTTGTTTCTCTAGCTTGAAAAGCTTCATTTGTTTCAATATCTGGGGCATTCCTACTTCTACGAACCTAGTGTATTAATTTACCGTTGGAGTTCGAGTTTTGTGGAAAATGTGGTGATGGAAAGGAAGCGATGGTGGCTGAGACGCCTTGTTGTGCCTCCCACCTTGTGAAAAATGTTGTATGGAAGGTGAATTTAGCAAATTATCATGAAACTTCATGTGAGCATTAAGGACCTGACAACAACTAACGGCCACGTAAGTTTCATCGACTTTTATTTGGTATTTCCTACAAATTTAAGGATCACATTTTAACCCCATACAAACACTGTAATTTTACAGGATTTGTACTGTGGAACTAACACAGAGCCTGGGTTACCTGGATAACAGAGGTGTGACGGAGCAGCTGCAGTATAGCCTGGGAAGCCTATCATGGACTGACAGCCCTTCCCCTGTCTTTAGCCCCAGTCAATTCTTGGTAGATCAGGGTACCCCCCTGGTGGTGGTGGTAATAGGGAAGGTGGGAGCATTTGTGGGGGAGGAAGTCCAGGTGGGAGGGTGTAAACAGATTGATGAGCTGATGTTCCTGACATGTGTTTTGATTCATTCTTTTTCTGTTTTTTCTCCCACTTCTTGAGCCAATCCTCCAGCTTTGGCTCAGGTTGATTTGCTTGTGATACATTTGATGTTTGGCTACCTGTGCGCACAAAAGGAAATTTAAGTAAACAGCAGAAACTGTAGTAAATGATCAGCCCATTCACTTTTTAACCTGAGCAACAGATCGGTTGATGGAAATAGGAAATGAAAGGAAAAAATAATGCAAATGATAAATAATTCAGCTCTTGACAATAATATTAGGCTATTGATGTTTTCTCAGTTACTTAACATTATTTTAATCTGTTGCTAGGTATAGTTATTATATTAATTATTATTTTGTTTTTAAAAAAAAAAAAAAAAATAGATAACATATAGTAACATAAAGACACATAAACAGACTACGCCATTCATCATTGCTACATCATTGCTATACTATACAGAAAGTAACACTAAACACTAAAGGAATGCTACATAACCTTAAATAACCACGTAAAAAACTGTTTAGTAGTTGAAATAGTTGTGGTGATACTTACTTGCTCCTTGAGCTGCTAATAGCATTTGTGGATTTGTATGAGAATACCAACAACTATCACCAAATCCACAAGATCCTAAAACAACAAAAGGTCAGTCAAATACTCACATAATTTTATCTAAAAAATATTATGATATGTGTTATATAGTGATGTAGCATCAACAATTTATTACTTAGCTTGAAATTCATCCGATTGCTTCGAGTCGTTTTCTCCTCTCAACAATGTCTGAATCGACCGGCCGTTAATGCCATCCAGTGACGTCACTCACTACCCAAAAACTGGGTAGTGATTTTGATTGGTTGATTGTCTAAAAATTCGCATAATTATGTATAATTATGAAAAATTTTAGTGGGAGTGTCGCTTGATATTCAGCGGAACACATCCCTTGCATTCTTTCGTTTAGTTCAAACATTTCGATAAGCTTAATCTTTATCTTAAACAGCAAAATTGCCCTTGTCTTCGAAAACTGAAATGCTAAATTGAACTGCGAATGAAGAATCATTGGGGAGAGTCGGTGAGTTTTCATTTAGGAGCGCTTTGTGGTTTCGCTGCCGGTGATTTTGTTTACGCCGAAGTTTTGTGAGATCAATGTTATAATTGGTCCTTCTTGCTATTTTTACCGTCAAGTGTGATGATTCTGTTAGCTTTTCTTTCTGTCTCCTCGTTTTTTTTCTTCGTTAAGGACCAAATAGCTTCTTTTCAATTAAAGCAAATCATTGTGTTTTTGAACTAAGTGTTCCGTGTGTTTTATTTCACTGCGTGATTGGCGACCGAGTTTGATTATAGAATTTAATACAACCGGTTCAGACTTGTACTGCATGCAGTTGATAGTTTGAACGTTAAACATGAATTACAATCGAAAAAAATAAAGCAGTTCCGTATCATGCAGACATTTCCAAACGATATTTCTCGGTTTGCTACTTGAAACTCATGTTTTACTTTTTGCATGAATTAAAGCAAAGGTCAAGGAGTAGTGACGTCACTGGACGGCATTAACGGCCTGTCGATTCAGACGTTACTGAGGGAGTAATAATGACTCGAAGTAATCGGATGAAATTCAGGCTATTTATTACTCAGTTAGTATAGCTTAGATTTTTCACACTCCATTCACTATCTTTCCATAAGGCTGTGAAGATCCAGCACATTGTGTTATGGGCAGCAATCTTGGTTTTAAATGTACCAAGGGGAGGCCAAGGTACCCAGGCCAGAACTGAAACATTAAGATTGCTACTAGTAACACTGAAAGCACTCAATCGCAACGATCTTACAGAAAAATAGGGGACTGTCTATTTATAGCATTTTTTGGTACATCTGCAAGGATCATTATGCCAAAATTTTCCTTAACCCTCAATGATGAAATAAAAGGGTAAAGATAAAGGCACAAAATAATAAGCCAAAGGCCCAAACAGTTGGAGCTTATCCTGGTTTCCTTAGCATGAAGCATGCCTAGGAGTATTGCTTCTCCCCCCTAGATGGGATGCTACAGCTGTAGTGCATCACAGGGTTACCCCCCAGCAATAGGTCGCAGGACCCATTTATACACTTGGATGAAGAGAGACAACAAGGAGTAGAGTTCCTTGTCTAAGGAAACGATGTGATGGGCATGGCTTGAACCCCACACCTCTAGATCTGGAGTTTGAGGTGTTAACCACTCGGCCACACACGCCTTCTCAATGAAAAAACGCACTTTGGTAACTTTGATTGACTCAACATTTCTGCTGGATACAATTTGAATTGCCCAAACTAAAGAATGCATAAAATATAGTAAATGCAGATATAATAAATGTTTCATAATCATACAAACTCACCAGTGGTAAAGAATTTTCGACAGGGTGGCTTACTACTTTCTTCTGCTAGCAGAACTGCAGGATCTATTTTTGAAACAGCCAAAACACTGTGTAAAGCATATTAAGGGAGGAGTGGAGACTTTACTTAGAAAGGGTAACAATGACAGTTACAAAAATACGATAAACTTGTGACACCTCGTTTAAGCAACCACCTATCCAAAACACTAAAAATTTTTTTCCCAGTCAAATCCTTCTTGTTGGAACATCTCATAAATGACCACCTCTCGTAAGCAATCACACCACTTTTTGGGCAGAGGGCTCACTTTTTGCGATGGTTTCCCCTAAAACCTCCTGAAAGCAACTCACTAGACACATGAAGTAATCTCTATGTTTGCTGTATGTACTACTGTACAGCATTCAGAGTATACGAAAAAATTCCTGTCATAACCAAAAATCAGTAAAATTCGCTTTCAAACAGTAGACCTCTTCTCATTAGAGACCAGCTGTGGGTTGCTTCTTGTCAGTGACCACCTCCTGTAAGCAACCACTAAATCTTTAGCCTCCCAACAGACGTTCTTAGGGGTTCGTCACACGTTCCTGCCCCATGAACATCTGCTGAAATATGTGGTTTAATTCCTTTCCCACTGTTCACAAATTTTAGATGGAACTCACGTGCAGATTATTGGAGAACCAACTGGTGCTAAAAGAGTCAAAGTGTTGACAAGCCAAACACGATGTGCAACCTCGGAAGTGCCTAATACATGACTAAAGAGTTCTGTTCTGGACAAAAATGCAGGAGATAAAGCTTGGCTTTTTGTATATTTCTCTCTGTAAAATTATGCTGAATCAGATGCCATTTGCTCTGATAAAGGTGTTCTTTTGGTGAGGCCACAGCAGGATGATCTTCTTAGTCGAGTTTCCGGGTAAACTTTTTCGTGTAAGAAGATCACAAAAGTAGCACGATAGATGCTGGCCTCTTATTGGGCACAAAATTATTTTTTGTGCCCAAACATAGACAAGCATTCGAATGAGTCGTGGAATTGCTTCGTTAAGAGAAGCAACCCAGGGGTTTGCCTGCTCATTGTTGAAAACTTTCACTGCCATTTTACCCGACCCAACTGACTGCCCCTTGGTCTCTGAGGATCTCACCTTTCATGAGACCTTTCTGATCTTTTGTGGAGTCTCGCGCAAAGAAGCCACGAAATTTCTCAAGGTCCAAAGTGCCCTTCTCAGATCAGGAAGTCTGCAGTGATTGGTCTACGTTTTTAACCGCTCGTTTCAACAGACGTTCGTTGGGGAAGGATTGCGTGACGAGCCAAAAGAACGTCTTTGTCACCTGTGTGTGGGAAGCTACTAAATTTTCGCATTTTGGGTGGTCGCTTCGACTGTATTTTCTTTTGTTTGCTTGATTTACGGTCTTAATTTCAATCTTATTTACATCTTACTTTATCGCATCAAGCTTAGCTCAAACACAATGTGATCGAATTGTCTGGGACTGGCAAAATAAGAGTCCCTTTATTTACCACTTGTCACAGTTCAATTATGAAAGAGTTTGTTTTAACTTAAGAGAACATGGAAAACTCTGGTAGGTGCAAAGCTAAGCAACTCTATCTGTGTTTACAGCGCAAGGTTTGACCGAGAAATGAATAATTCTCACCTTTGAATGAATCATAGTGCAGCTTCCGATTCCTTTTGTGCTGCACGCCATTAATGTGATTCTTCCTTGTTTGCGGAGTGTCCGCAAAGGAACGGTTACAGTACTCACAATGATACCTTTTCCCCATTCTTCAAAAAAGACTAAAAACAGCAATGAGACCGCGAGTATTTACAGCCATTACTTGCAATGGCGGCCATGTTCCTTAGTAGCCGCTCCAGCAAAGAGCTTTGTAGCCACGTTTTTGAAGGGCGCGAGCGCGAAACGCGATAGAGACACGCGAGAGGCGGTCCTCTCTCGATCTCGATCTCGATCTCGGGTGATTTGCCCTTAGCCTTCGTCCTCGCGCCTCAAAACCTGCCGGAATTTATCGTAGCGCCACAACGTCCAAACAAGCGCTGTTCTTATTGTTTTCAAACGAAAAAAGTAAAAGAAGGAAAAATACGCACAGTCAAACCTTATTAACCGGTAACCTTTGGGGATGGGAATGGCCAATACAGGTTTGACAAGACTAGAAAATAAAGATGATGACAATGCAGGATATCCATAACAGGACAGATTGACTTCAACATGTTTCTATGTCTTCTTGGGCCAAAAGAAAGGAAGTATAGTAAAAGACCACTAACTGTTTCGCATGGTGCATCCAATGCACTAGTACCGCGGCTTTCAATCTCGACGAAGTGACCGTTAAATAGATCACGTGAAGTCGGCAATACAACGGGCTCGTTGGTGGCCTGCGTAGTAGGGATAGTAAGAAAGAAAAGAAGGAGGTAGGGAAAAAAGGAGAGGGGATTAACGCAGGCTAACTCGTTTGGACCTCGAAATAGGTGACCGCTTCCGCAGGTCAGATTTACAGTAAAAGGGAAATGATTTAAGTCTTAAGTCAAGTTCAATTTCCGCACTGAAGCAGACATGACTCCGCGGTGTGTCCAGTATCTTTCCTATGCGAAGAGCCATATCATCCGGGCAGTGGCAGCTGTTTCGTGATATGGCTGTGCGCATGCGTAAGGTACTGGTCATACGAGGGTGTCATCCAACCGATAGTTTTAGCTGTTGTCGTCGTTGATAAAGTTAACTTTTAATACACTGGGTATCGCCAAAACTCATAAAATTCCCTACTCTCTAGTGTTTCTCAGGTATAATCCAGGGTTCGAAAAAATAGAGTCACTTCCTTCTTAAGCCTTTCCACGATATTGGATGGGGTTCGATGGGTTGTTTCCCACACAATCTTTCAGGAAAATAACTAAACTCAGTGAAATTCGACACTGTTATTTTTTTGTTTGTTTGTTTCCATCTCGCCACATCCGAAAACTAAGTAGTGATACCATTTTTACATTGAAAGATCAAACTGAAGCGTCGAATTAAACTAGACATGAACGTCGCTTCAACGCATTTGCCTCTACCGTCTACTTGACGAGTAAAACAGGTAAAAAAGCACATTTTAGTGCGTAACATGTTTAAAGGTATAACAATCCAAAACGAAACGTGAAGCAGTTGTTGGTAGATTTAATACTTCCCTGACAAGACTTATGTATAATTCAACAAAGATCACTATACTTTATTACAAACTATCTGTTAGTTGCTATTGACAGCACTATTTACTTAAACCACAATTACTTTAGAGTTTTAGATGCTATACTTTCAACTTCAACCACAAGACGTACATTTCTCATTACCTCTACCTCAAGGAGCTAATTTGTTGAGACAAATCCCACTTACTGGTAAACCTGAGGCTTGTTAATTGTCCCAAGTCATGAAATTCATTCATTAGACTGATCACAGTCCCCTATTTTTTCGCAAGATCGTCGGAATCAAGAGCTTAGAGCTTACCGGTACGGGCGACCATCTTGTACCGAGAGGTTACGAGGGGGGGACGTCGGGGGTCGACACTCATCCCCAGCTTAGACTCGATACATTTGAAACCAAGATGGCCCCCCGTAACGCAAAGCGCCTTGAGGAAAGGTAGAGGACTATGAAGAGTCTATTCATTCACCTTCAAGCATCTCTAACAATTCTAAGAAGCCCTTGGTTAATTCTTTAGATTTTGATTGGTTAATTTAACTTCTAGTTTGCTTGGTTTCGATCCATTTATAAAGTGATTTGAGCTTGTAGCAATTACTTTTTACATTCCTTTGGCAGGAAAAACACCGACAGGTAGATGCACGTTAGATAAGATAGAGATTAAGATAGCTTAAGCACAATGGATCCAGGCTCGTTTCATAAAATTCCACCGACTAGTCCCGAAAAAATACAAGTCACCTTTGTGTTCTGCTCTTCGCACACATTTTCATACTCTTATACGATTCAATGCTCCAGCATTTATTGTCCTAACTTCAATTTGTTTTCCTTTTCAGAATGGTTTTCTCTCAATCACTGAACGAAGGTGACCAATCAACAAAAGAAGTAGAAGCGCACGCGGCTTTCACTTGAATTAGCAAAGGCCGTGATAGGTTATTTGACTGAGTCTCTTTCCATATTAGAGTTATTTTTTCGTAGCAAAAGGCCAAAGCTCGTTTTGATCTTTTCATCTAATGGAACGAATCCTGAAAACGCGGAAATGCGTTCAGAGTTACAAAACTCTTCCTTCTCAAGAAAGGATCGTTACTTCTTTTACATTCAGTTCGTGACCAGCACGCTTTATAGTGTGAAGAGATATCATACATGAACTCATCTTGGAGTAGAAATAAGTGAGCCGCGCTGAGGTTCATTTTTTAAATGAATCACTAAGCGTGACTATTTAATCAAACGAAAGCTCCAAAACAGAACCTCCACGACGTGATAGACTATTTAAGGCTTGATCTTTTGCATTACTTTCGTATGAATGAAAATCTTAAATGTGCAAAGCGAAAGTGCTATTACTTATCCAAAAAGGAGTCTCTTTCTTAACATCCGTCAAAGGAATCCTTAGTCTCCTTCGTAGCAGCGCCTCGGGCCGATGGGTGACTCCGCCCTGCGAAAGAGACTAAGGAAGGATCCAAATCAACAAACCTGCGCCTGTTGCGTCAATTAGCCGAACCTGACGTAAGAAAAAATAGAACTCGTCATCACCTGAACTAGGCGAGAAGAATGGCTGAATCTTTAGCAATAAAAATGACTGTTCTTAACCGTTTCAGGCAGCGTTCACACTTGATGCCAGGGCGCAAAGCCCGAGTACGGTACTCGCTCCATCCACGCCAGACTTCGGGTTCTGCGCCGATGCTCGTACGAGTTCAAAACCTTGTACCCGGACACTCAAGTGGGCATCGGGATCCTGTGTGCGCACGACTCTGTTGGCTACGGCTTTGAATACCCATAATTCCCTCTGACACTTATGTTTCAAAATGGCGTCTGACTGGGCGCAATGGAGCAAATATGTGGACAGTTACATATCGGGTACTCAAGGTGTAAACACACCATTTTCAGCCGGTACCTAGGCACTAAATGTTTGGGCAAGAAGTGTGAACAGTCCATGATCAGACTGAACTCTTCAAGACTGATAAGTTCGGTCTATGAACTGGACCTTCGAGGATTTAATTATATGACAAAAGTTATTTTGGCTCGTTTTTCTACAAGAAGGGTGTTAAATAATGACAGCATCTGCGCAAGAAATACCACATTTTACAAATACCCAAGACAATTTGCTTTAGTTGTGAAACAAAGAGAATTATTGCAGTACAAAACTGATGAAAAAATGGGGAGATCACTAAACTACATTTTATCATCTATATTTAGAGAGACATGGATGTGAAGTTTCTGAATCGGAAGTGTGCAAGCCAGAAATATCACAATCCTAATGGAAAAACCTAATTATACAATAGATGTACTTTACATATTCCATTAAATCAAACATAATTATACATGATACTGAACGCCAGCCTGAAAAGAAGAGAATAGAAACAATTACTCCAATTCCATTCACAGTTTAGAAGATAAAGTAAACTTCTAGTTTTAGAGTTTCCCAATAAGGTTCTTCAATCCTATTATCCCGACCCCAATTTTCGCGCAATCCCGAAATCCCAATGGTTATTTTCGGCATCTCGTATTCCATGCATACTTTCAATCCCGAATCCCACCTCCAATTTTCATTAAAATCTCAAATCCCGGCTTTCAAGTGAGGCAAATCCCGTATCCCGAAAAACATGGTGGGAACCTTCGTTGTAAGCTCACTGTCCCTTCCCCATTGAAAGGCCTACGTATATGTAGCCTATCACGCAGACGTTCTTAGGGGTTCGTCACGCGTTCCTTCCTCTGTGAAGCAGGAACGCGTGACGAACCCCTAAGAACGTCTGCGAAGCTACTGTATATGCAAAAAAAAAACTGTCCCACTTACAAACACCCTTCTTTCAGGCACCAGCAGGGTGGTCATTAGGCATCGGAGATCGGAGAATTCTCGTTTACTATGCAAGCTCCGGCAAACGTTCGGTAGCCTGTGACTATTTTATATTCAGACGTGGAGCCCCTTTCAAAATATTCTCCTGTAATGTTACACCTTTCTCCTACCAGATGCAATCTCTCCTTGTCTACTAATTTTCTATATACCGCGTATTCTGTGTCAAAGTTTTTTCATAATAATGAGGTTAAAATTGTGGTTTTCATTGGTTTATTTACGCTTGAGTCTTTTAGTTTTACCTTTAACTTTGAAAGGTTTTCCCTCGCTTTTTAAAAAATTCCCTGACTTTTCCCTAACCTTGAAAAATTTTTGTTTTTCCCTGACATTTCCCTGACCGTGGCAACCCTGAAAATTTTCCAAATGATAATTACACAGTGTAGGTGACAGTGAAGAAATGCAACGAAAAGATAAATACTATTAATTTCTGTCATGAAAATTATCAAACTACATTATTGCCGTAGGGATTTAAAATTAATATAAGATTTATTAGAAGAACAGATTGACTGAGTTACCTTTTCAAACTCTTTCAACCATGAAAAGGATGCTGGCTAGAGAGGTTATGTGAGTCCGTGTAATGAGCAGTCTCGGTAAAAATAAGTTCTATAATATCAAACAAATAAAAAAAATATATATTAGTACAATAATTATTGACTAAAACTTATAATATTTTACATTGACTAATTCAGTCAAAAATCAAAGTCGGTATTTGACTCAATGGACGTAACTATAGCAGAGATTTAGTTAAGAAGTTTTTGTCTCTTGAAAAATAATAAATTACTTCTGTTTGTTGATGCATGTATTTGATCGTTACTGTTCGTTAAAAATCAGTTATTAATTTTGCCGCTAAGAATTTCACTTTCAAAATTAATGCAAATAATTAATTTCAACCACAGTTTCATTGCTTGATTTTTAAAATGATCAAGTTGTACATACAGACCTTTAAGTTTCTCCTTGGGAAGATCATCCAACTCCGTTTCAAATCTAAACGGTTCCTCTGCAACAGGCTGTCAAAACAATAAGAATAATAACATCTGCACTTTGTAGTTAATGTGTAGGATCACACTTTAACTTTGACTACTTCATGGTTCCCCTTACAAAAGCAAAACACTAATAATATTGTTAATACAAATATAGCTGAAATGACCGTTAGAGTAAATGTATAGTGTATGTCAGTTTGTATTGATTCATTGTATCAGACCAGCTTTAAAAACAGCTTTCAATCCATATGAATTTATTAATAATTTAAACAATAAATTATTTGTCTTTAGTACTTCTGTAATTCTAATTCCCCCTGAAAACTATCACCCAGTTCATGTGGCCACCTCATTATCATGACTACAATTTTATTCTTTTAAACCGAACGTTAAAATACTGCATTCAGACACTTTTCTTATCAGAAAACAAGTGTCTTGTTTCTTTTATACAGTTGAACCTCCTTTAAGCGGCCACCCTCTATAAGTGGCCACTAATTAAAGTCCCGAAATAATTGTAGTAACGAATGAGAAATTAAACCTCTATTAAGCGGCCATGGCCACAGAAAATACATGTAAATTCCGAGATAGATGGTGACAACCGATTGTAAACCAGTAATGCTTCTCCTATCAAGCATTTGTTTCACAGTAGAGTGATATTTGTGCTAAAGATTAAGCTAATTTACGACAAACCTCTATTGAGCAGCCACCTCCATTAAGCGGCTACTTGCCAGTACCCTGAGGGTGGCCACTCAATGGAGGTTCAACTGTATAACCAGATTTTTAATCAACAGGGTTTCACTGAATCGTACATACCTCATCTGCAGGGTCGTAATACTGTTCCAAATAGGGATGAGCTAGAGCTTGCTCTATTGTAATTCTCCTGTCAGGGTTGAAAGTTAACATCTTATCCAAAAGATCTAGAGCTGTGAACAAAAAAATAAAAAATAAAAAAACCTTGATAAAAGGAACTGCCTCCAAGGATACAGCCGTGTACAAGTGCACATTCTCAGAGCATGCTATCATGTAAAATCGTCACCCATGTATATTAACGATTACCCATGAAAGGAGGCCCCACATGGAGATAAAAACACTTCTTTTTAGTTTGTCACTGATAGATACATTATGTACTACTTTTCTGACATAGACCCTGATAAAACAGGGACACCCATGAAGCACAGACATTACACTCACGTAAGATGGGCACCCACATAAGGAATACCCTTTTGAGGGAGACAACCATTTAAGGCAAATACCTTTGTCAACTGGACACTTGTTTACCTGATGGGCAGCCACAGAAGGTGGACACCCATCTAGGATGCACCCTACGTACAGTAAAGATGGACACATCTGTAAGCACATCCATGTACACTGTACAGTAGAAACCCGATAATATTATATTTTAAAAATACTATAGCAAAGTCCTTGGTATAACAAACTATTTTTTTTGCCCCAGTAACAGTAAAATATATGAAAAAGGACCTTGATATAACAAACCCTCATTACAGTGAACAAATTTTGCCAGTCCCTTGGCCCTTTGTTACAGGTGTATATCGAGGTTCCACTGTACATAGTAAGATGGAAAGCCAATAAATAAGGCGCACGGTAGACTGTCCTCTAAGAAACTGAATAGTATGATAACATCAATATGCCTTCTCTCACCATTTGGGTCTGCATTGGGAAAAATTCTTGACCAAGGGACAGTTGGTTTGTAGGCTAATGACTGAATGTAACTGCGGGCCTGCAGAACATAATGACATCAAGATAAACAAAAAGCACTAAGTGGCTTTGTCGTAAACATGTACAAACACTTACAACTGATGCCATCACTCTACCTTCACTCAAACGTTTAAGCAGTACAAACATTAAAACATGAAGATTTTAATTTTTGTCATGCAGTATTAATTTCAGCGAAGTCCAGGGTCTCTTTAAGTGATGCAAAAACCAATTATGGAAAATGTTCAAATGATTAATGCAGAAAAAAAACTCTTGTTGGCAAATCACAAATAATGGGAAATACTTGTGTGTTATATTTTTAATGTTCTCATGATAGGCCATTTGCAGGGCTGTCATTAAGTTTTGAAGCAACCGTAGCACATGAAGATTCACCCGTAACATCTCCCAAAGATTTATAGTGCCACCTTTAGCTTTCCACTTTGATCACCTGTGACATCAAGTCAGCTCAGACATAACAGGTGTTACGCGTTATGGCCCTTAATGACAGCTCTGATTTGCCAATGATGTCATTTTACTATTATGACTAGAATCCTTCTGGGTTTTGCTTTCTTTTGCAAATTAGGGCTTTTGCTATTTATTCATTGCTGGGATTACCAAATTTAAGTATGGAGGGAAAAACAAAAAGGATTCTGGTTGTAGTAGTTAAATGATGCAATCATGCAAATGACCTATTAAAGAAGAAAGAGAATTTTCCCGAAAGCACAGAAAAAATTCAGAGCTTGGCAGTTTGACGTGCACAAGGCTGAAAAATAAATGGAATTCTTATAAAGAAAATTTTCCAATAACTGGTTTGATCAATCATCAAGAACGATCGAGCGTGCTAATCCAATTACAGTCAACTCGCGATAACTCGAGCCTTCAAGGGAAATCAAAAAAAAGTCTGAGTTATCGGGAGTTCAAGTTATTGGCAGCTCAAAGAAAATAGCCAAAAGTAAGAAAAAAACATTGTTTGCCGTACAGTGAACATTTTAATCACAATTACTTGTAGAAATGTTAACTGAAAATTGAAAGAGACTTTTAGATTATAAATCAGAATGTAATGTAACAAAATATAGACCAAATAGAGCATCCATTTTACTGTTTTGAGAAGTAATTAAGCTGTTCACGTTAGATTTGTGACAAACAACACCTGCCTTCACAAGTAAACTAGATGCCTACAACACGTCAATTGGAAATTCAAAAGCCAATCTTTCACACGCCAGCTGTACACTGTTTTCCCCCAACTTTATAAGCACTCAAAACATGGTTTGAGTTATCAGGGGTAAAAATATATACATGTAGAAATGATCTGAGGGGAAACCACAATTACCGGTACTTCAAGTTAGCGGGAGGTTTGAGTTATCGAGGGTTCGAGTTACCGAAGGTAAAATTACAGTAAACGTATGAAGGAAATCCAGGGGAAATTGAGTTTGATTCGAGTTAGTGCGAGTTTCAAGTCAGCAAGAGTCGACGGTACTTCCAAAGATCAATAAAATACACCATCTTGTATCTCAGCAGATTCCCAACATTACCATCCAGTCATCTGGGCCAAGTAGATTTTCCCCTTTCCTTATTTTCCTTTTTTCATGCTCACTTGGCCAATGGGCAAGGGCCCAAGCAAGTCAACTTCAAAATAGTTCATAAACACTAACAAGGGTGCATTAGGGCCCTAGTCAAGAGAAAAACTAAGAGAAGCTTCTTGTAAAGACAAGCTGGAATTCATCAAGTCCTTTTTCTGTAAGCAAAATGCAAAATATTTATAAGATTAAATGACTGAAAGACAAAAGGATTTTGCTTCTTTTTACCTTTTCGTTCATGATGCTTTGCAAATCATCTTGGGTAGGAGATCCTAAAACCCCCAAGATGTGATTCAGCTGATCAAGATCTGACCAACATGTCAAGGGAGATTTTCGAGACTGCTTCTGTACAAAATGTAGCCTGTGTCTTATCAGTATTTAGCAGGCCAAGGCTGCTTTAGAGAATGGCTGGTAAATTAATAGGACTTTCTGGAATTACCATGATACTCTTTAATACCCAGGTTTAGCCATCTATTCAGGGTAATCTTGGCATAAGCTGCTAATGCTACTGCACATGCAAGCATCATCTTTTACACAATATTTGCCTAATGCAAACATTTTCATGTATGAATGCAAAAGTTCAAGTGCTGGCTTGAAAAAAGGATTAGTTCCGATGTCTTTTGTTATATTTTTTAATGCTTAAAGTTTCCTTTAATTACCGGTACTTCAAAACAAAAAAAATCAAAAAGTATTGTGGTATTTTGTTTGGCTAACATTTTGTTAAATCAAGTGCTGCCTACTTCAGCTAACTTTAACAACTGCTTCAGAAACCCTTGAAAAGAGTCACTGCTACTGCAGTAGTCCAAACTGTGACCATTTTATAACCCTGGAGAGTAAGAAAAATTTTGATATCTCAAATTGCAGTGAATTTTGAAAGTTGCCTTGATGCAGTAACCTGTGCTTGACAGTGGTGTCCCAAACTATGGTGTTTTTATTGGTTAAGTGTTTATGATCTTTGTATATTGTAAAAAGATATTTTTGTCATAATTTGCCTGTTTCACTGTGGTACACGTGGTCCAGTAATTATAGGCTTTAAGCGGTTGCATGCACCTCCAAGCTTTATAGCTTTACACATGGTTGAGCAGCCACTTCGATTATTTTGAGCAATTTGTGGAATAATCCAAAAGGCGAAAAAGTTCGAAAAATGTTGAGCTTGGGGCACCGCACTGATATGCTAAAAAACAGACATATATTAGCCACTATTTCAAAGATACAGTGTTTTCCAGGAAAAAGTGGACGGTTAGACAACATCTCAGCCAGAATACAGCCTACAGACCAGATGTCAATTGCTTTGCTGTATCCTTTGGAATTGAGCATAATTTCAGGGGCTCTATACCATCTTGTTGCAACATACTCAGTCAAGATCCCTTTGTGATCATGTTCAGGGTCTGCAACGCGTGCTAATCCAAAATCACAAATCTGAAGAGATAAAATAATAATAATAATAATAATGACAATAACAATACATTTCACAAATACAAAAACAAGGAATGAATAATAAATTTCAAAGTTGTTGGTGCTATCGCTCTGATGGAAAATAATAATAAACTTTCTAAACACTTAAAACTAGACAAACCCATGTAGGGCTACAGCTGTAGATGTACTTTGTTTTCTCTTGAGCTAACAAAACATCCGAGGAAACACCAAACTGATCACCAAACATACAGAGGGTACTTTACAGGACATTTTCTTATTTCCACATTAATGTTAACAATCCCTTGAGGGCCATGTGTTAGAAAACTCTTAACTGGGTTAATCATGTATATCTACCCTCTCAAAATAAAGAACATTGTATTGTATTGTATTGTAAGCTTAGAATCAGTTAGACGAAAGCTTTACCATACTATGAAACACACTGTCAGCCATCTTGGTTCAGCCATGTGCTTTTCATATATGGCAAACATAATGAGCAACCACTCCACCAGGTAAATAAAAATGGCCACTTTCAGGGCTGTCATTAAGAGGCCGGGACCGGGGATTTCCCCCGGCTACTATGAACGTCTTCCCGAGCGACTTTCAAAGGAAAAGAAAAGAAAAATAGAACCAAAAGAAGTTCCTAGCTGTTTGATTCCCTGCCTACTTGTTGTATTTACCCAGCAACTTGAAATCTTAGCCACAACCCTGCGCTTTTGAAAAAATCTTATCGGATAATTTGCGTGGAGATAACATTTCTAATTCTATCTATTTGTTCAAAAATTGTTCTTAACCTATTTTACAAGCAGACGATATCACTCTTTTGTTTTGAGGTAGCTTTCAATATGTATTTAGAATCGCACAAGCAGGACATTCTTCAAAAAAATCTTTAGATCAATCAAACCGATCGTTGCCTCCCAAAAGATGCAAGCTGTCAATTATTCCATGTCCTTGAGAATTTTCATGCACCAGGGACGCATGATGCAGGGGTAACAAAATCACTGCTTAACAACACCCACCTTCAAATCACATGTTGTGTTCAGTAGCAAATTGCTGGGCTTCAAATCCCGATGAAGCACATTAGCAGAGTGGATGTATTTTAGTCCTCTTAGGATTTGGTACAAAAAGTAACATATGTGGTCATTACTAAGCTTTTGCGTCTTCAAAAGCTTGTAAAGATCTGTCTCCATCAGACTCTGAACAATGTACCTACACCCCTTGTCAAGGAAGAACATGTCTTCAAGTAAAAATTGTTTTTATGAAGAAGTTTATTGTCCCCACTGCAATTGTGGGGGAAATACCAGGACTTATTACAGAGCTTATTCAAGTGTGGCACTTACTTGAGGGCAGCGCTTATTTGAAAGTTGCACATGGCAAAGAATTGTATTAAATATGGTGTTATTATTTTCTGTATTAAACTAACAGTCTTTTCACTTTGATTATATAAGAGCCATGGCACTTATTTGGGGGCAGCCCTTTAACAATTTTAACTTTTTCCTAGCAACTGCGGTGCTTATTTGAGGGTTGTGCTTAATTGGGGGTAATGCCTACTTGAGGAGTACATACGGCATACTATTAAATTTTAGGCAGTGCTTCATGTAAATCGAAGTCTATCTGCTACAAAGAGATCCTGTCCTAGTATAACTTAGACTCTAGTCTAGTCCAAGCTCTCATACTTATGTTCAAAGGCCATCCTAATTATGTGAGTAATATGTTTAGTATGAAAATCTGTGAGAACAATCTTATTGGTAGTAGTAGCAGACTTAATCAGCAGGCCCCTAATACTTCTTTCAAGCACAAATCTTTCTCCTTTGCGTACCATCTCTGGAGCACTCTTCCTCCTCACGTTAGGGAGGACTGTGATCTTAAGAATTCATTGACAAGTTCAAAGAATTTAACTTGGGCCAGGACAAATGCCACTGCAAACTCTGCTCTCGTTAGTCTGCCAAGTTGGTAATTAGCATAGTTAATTAATTTTATTCATCTAAATACAATTGTATTACTATTATTATTATTATTACTATTATTATTATGGATACATGTAAATTATTGTAAGAAGCCTTCTTTTTAGGCTTACTAATGTCCCATGTTTGAATTAACATTGAGATTTTGATATTGAGACTTGAGATTTGCATTGTTTTGTTCTTTGCATATGTATAACTTTGCAAAAAAGATTGCAATTTGAAATTATTTGGAAACCAGCTGGTATAAGACCCCAAATAAAATATTGTCTTGTCTTGTCTGGTCTTGAACTGTAAATAGAGCACAAAGAATTTAAATAGACGAGTTTGTTCACCGCAAAGCAAAGTTTATAATTTTTGTCATAATTGGCACTATGTGTGGAATGCACATGATCATTAGCGAGACAGAAACATAAGTTGGGTATACATGTATGACTGTATCTGCCTGGTTTCCATAGCTACCTAGAAACAAACTGTCAGTACACAAAACCACAACAAAGTTAGCCAGGTTGTTTCCAATTGTGTTAGCAATCAGCAAATGCTCATAGTGATGAATTTCAAATGCAGAAACTACTTTTAAGAGAAAATGCAATCGATTTGGTCCATTTGCTTCATTATAAGAGCAACCTTTTTGAGGTAACAGAAGACTGATTTGTGTCTCTATCAGGTCCATATAAGCCATATGTTCTTCAAATGTAATGAGAAGTGTCTTTTTGGTTCAGCTTTCAAGTAAGTTTAGCTCAAACCCTGCTTATTTTCCACAAATATACCTATGAATTTATCTTTAAAGCGGCTCAACCTGCGTAAACAGTGTTCAACAGTAGAATTTCCAATGAAAAATACAAATATACTATTTTTATTTGAGACATATGTATTTGCAGGTAAGCAAGAAACCTGGATCCCACTCTCAGTTATGCCGTTACTTTTTCCTGTTTTGCTTGTTTCTTTATCTGTTTTTATTTTGTTCGTTTTGTTTTTTTTTGGTCTTGGTTTTTCTTCATTTGCCATGTGCGACGCTTTGTGATACATGTATTTTTAGTATTAAAATAATGATCAGAACTGATGTACAGGAAAAACCTAAAAGGCCATGTCCCATCTGCAACATTGAAGTTGTGGTATTTTTGGAATGTTATAAGTCACCGTAAACAACTCTCTATTATGACATAAAGGCAATGTAAACAATTACGTTACTCAAAAGACGTCGAAGTGTAACGCCGTGTTCGAAATGCAGTAAAAACTGGTAACTATGTTTCAAAAGCGTATATTGGAACTTTTGTCAGGCAGCTTTCAAGAACTTTTAAAAATGTAAAAAATGTGGCGATAGAAAGCGACAGCTGTGTCCCTGCGAACAGCCGGGCAGTTTGCTAAATTAAGAAAAATAAAGCTTTAATACATTGGAATACAACGGCAAAACAAGCTGTCGCGACTTGAATATTTTTGCCCGTAGGGTATAGTAACATACAGTAACCAAGAGAAAATTTGGACAGACAGAAGTAATTTCACAAACATGAAATATTTTGCGTGAGCAACAACACTTTAATTCAGTGTTAAATGTTATAATTCTCCCACAAACTTCTCGCTTTCCTTCAGCAAAACCGTATTTTGTGATTTCTGAAATGAACATGCACGTTTCTTCCACGAGCTGTCCAAAAGTTGTAGCGATGTTCGAACACTGGTAATTTGTCATAAAACGAACTCAAACAGGAAATTCGCGAATTTACAGATATTGAGCAACAACAAGAACTAAGCCTAAGCAATATGGTTGTTGTTACCAGAGTGTTTTCAAAGGATACACGTCTTTCATATCGTTGATGTTCGGAGCACGTAAAATATCCATTATGTTAATAATCTGAAAGAAAAAATAGCTCAAATCAACAGCCATATCAGCAAAAATACATATTTGTGTAGGGAAATAATTCCGTGATGTACAACGGAAAGGAGGTAAAGGCCAAGTTGTAAAGATATTCAGTGGAATTCATGACATATTTTCGTCTCAAGTATCGATCTGTTCTTAGCGGTACGTACGTATATATGCGCTTACATTTTCATGTTTAAATCGCTTTAAAATCTTGATTTCCCTTAGTGTCCTCTGACAGTACGTTTGGTGCTCAAAAGGGCTGATCTTCTTGATGGCTACCCTGGGTCCGGTAAGGTTGTCCACCGCAGAGCTTCATGTAGAAGAAAAAGAACAAGAATATTTTGAGTCTCGGACGTGCAAAATCGAACTCGACAGTCACGCCACAAAGGCTATTCAGCATCATTGAACGTTCATAGAGTGAGATCTGATATAGTTCGCTTACCAAACCATTCCATATGCCCCTTCTCCTATGTACGTTAGATTCGTATACCGTGGCCCGACATCAAAAACTTGGCCCCGGACAATTTCAGGCGCCGAAGGTAGAGCGGCCATGTTTGAGTCAGCTTCCGTTTGGTAATTACACTTGATAACGAGGCTGAAACGCGCCCAAAGTCTGGATATACCCTACCCAGCATGCGGTGTGGGCATTCCGTAGGCCCGCAAAGGGTGCTGTGAGCACAAAATCGATTGAAGGCAGGCAATCAAGGATCAAGATTTATAGCTATTTATTGACCAGGCTGCCCAAGGCAGGCCCAGTTGACAAAAGATTTTCTCCCCGGGGGAGGGTGGATATTCCTGAGAATTTACAGTGGGGTTGTGCCGTCCGGATCTCCAAATCCTGACACTATTTCAGACAAGAGACAACTCATTCTCTCTTGTTTCAGACCAATGCCTATAAGGCAAACGTAAGGGAGTTTCCCCCCCGGGGATTTTCTCCGTCAAAAAAATGAACAGTATCAATTATTAAAGTAACGATAAAGCATGTTAAGCAACGGCAGCCATTAAATGAAGACGTGTTTGAAGCTAGCGTACTGCGCTTTTTCATCTTCTCCTTCAAAAGATGCGACAATGAGTACCTTTTGGGGTCTTTCTTCACTTTTTTATTGAAGTTTAATCTTTTTTTAGGTTTTTTTTCCTTTCCAAAACGTGATTGCAAATCTCTGTGTGCGTGTAGCTAGTGTGTGTGTGTGTGTGTACATCCATTGAATAAAGACGTCTCTCAAGCTATCATTGGCACTTTTATTCAATGCCTTCTTCAAAAGATGGTAGGATGAGTCGCTTTCGAGGTTTCTCTTCGCTTTATGTTGAATATTAAACCTTTTAAAAAATGTGACGGCCAATGTCTCTTTTTATTGCGATTTATACTCTGCGAATGAAAAGTCATTTCTAACAGGAAAGGAATACATACATACATACATACATTTATTGCTGCTCCCTAAAATGGCTTTTCAGCACCAATATTACAAGACAAAAACGTAAAAAAGAATTATAATCGTCAACTTAAATAAATATAATGAATGTATAATATTTAATATATTAACGTGATTTGCTTAAATATTCTCTAAAAATACAATGTTTAAAATTTTATAAGCTAGTTAACGTCCTCAGGTGCTTGCTTTATCCATCCCAGATGTTAACCCCTCTAGAGGCTAAACGACGCTGACCAGTTGCCAAGCGACGGCGGTGAATATTAAGGTTGTTTACAGATCGTGTTACCCTAGTACTTACCGACGATCTTATTTGAACCTTCGCGCATAAATATTTAGGAACAAGGTTGTTAAGGCATTTAAACACCATCACAGCATCGTTGATTTCTAATTTATCCTTTACACTGAGCTTTCTAAGTGACTTTAGCCGTTCACTAATGTGGTCGAATTTTCCAAGTCGCAGAATAATTCTGGCGACAAAATTTTGCACCAGTTGGAGTTTGTGTACATTAGTCTTCGAGGTGTTTCACCACAAAATTGAGCAGTAGAATAGCTAAGTAAAACACAAAACTTTTTATGAGTAATAAAAGTGTTTGTCTATCTAATAGATGCTTAATTCTATTTATATGTCCTAATTGATTAAAGCAACTAGAAACAGTTTTAGTGATATGAGCCGTATCATGTGAAAGACGTTCATCCATATATAAGGACCCTGGCAAAGGGAACCGGCCAAATCAGTCATTTTATCAAGCATGGTACCGGTAATAGATATCGGCGGCAACCGTGGTTAATAAGTTGCGGGAGTCCAAACAGTAACAAGTAATTTCGCCGGTCTTATCAGGGTTTAGAAGCAATGAATTTTTGGCTCACCATTTACAGATCTGCTGAAGGTCAGCATTTACGGAAGCTACAGCATTATGTATATATCCGAAACTTTAATAAATTTTAAGTACAATTGACCGTCATCTACGTAGTCAATGGATAAAAATCGGTAGCGATCAAGTGATTTGTATCGATTGATAACGGAAATAGGTGAAAAACGATAAACTAAATTACTTGATCAAATCAATAATATCGATTTTTCATGATTTTAACGATTGATAACGGAGATCCGGCCTGGTGGTTGTGTTTTGGCATAAGTAGGATAGTACAGCTGAGAAAACACATCCACGAGTAACAACTGATCAACAAACATGAAAATGTGGAAACTATTACACACCGTCAATTTTCTCTCTATGTAAAACCTTTTATTTTATATAAAATAACAAAAACAGTTTGATTTAATTACATCCAGTCCTCGCTGGCAAATATCACGAGAAACACACGACCTTAGATAAATATCTCCTACCCTAAATTTCAGACATCGCCTCGAGTCGAACGGGCCGGGGGATATATTTGAGGGGGCAGAGGGATTGGTAAACGTTTCCTGCTTACAATGGCTAATTATAACTTGCTTATTTTTATTCATAATGGTGGAATTTAAAAGTTACTAGTTACTATACAGCTCCGACTTAAAAACGTTACTCATTTTTCTTGTTATGAAAGTCTTACAAAAGGGTACAATGTTTCACTCTCTCTCATGAGATTCTATGTCACGCAATGTTCGACGACAAGGTTTTACGTGAGCCTGAGTGTGTACCTAGCCGCCCCCTCCCGCCCAGTAGCAGCCCAGTTAAAACGCCTTTCGGCGATTCTTGTTTTTGACAGAAATAGTTAAAAAGTCAGATCCCGCAAATAAATCGGATACGAAAATGCATCCAATACCTCTCTCAGAACTTCCCTAACGCTATACTGTATTTGTGATTTCGAGTTTAAAGGCTTACAAAAGTACCGTGTGTACGCCCGACTCACGCCAGTAATCACTGCAGACTAGAAATACAAGCTGTATTAGGTTGACTAATGGCAAATTATTTTACCCTCGGTGTTTCCCTGCCGGTAAAAGCAATTGTTGACTGTTACTTTCATCACGCCTCTTGACATACAAGTCTTTCTGTAACGTTTAAAAGACGATGAGCCTAATGCTAAGCTCCGAGGCAGGTGATTCATGCAAAAGGCTGTTACAGAAGTCGAAGTGCGAGGCGATGCAGGGGAAGATCCAGGGAGGGTAGATTGGGTGACTAGCCACCCCTCTTTAGAACAGCCCCCCCCCAAAAAATATAATGCGTGGAAAAATAAACGGAAATACGTGTGTCCCAAAAACCTTGTGAAACCAGCCAGCCGCAAATGCAGTTACAATCGATCGAGATGTGGTTTGTGAGAAATTTGTGGCGCTGTACCCTAGACGAATGACGGTGTCTTCCCTTTTGGCCAGGAGCCTGCTTTTGGCCGACTAGGATTAGTAAGGTATTTCTATCAGCTTCTATTTCTTCTATTTTGTGGCGTTTCAAGAGCGTTTGCAGTGTTACAGTCTCAAAATCTGCCTTCCTAAATCATCATGTTCTGGGACAAACGTAGGACAACTTGAAATAAATTGACGCATAGTTTGGTGGCCGTTTCGTATCAGCCACCCCCATTAAAAAATCCTGAATCTGCCCCTGAGATGAATTTATGCACTTAAGTCTTGGTTTTCTCGAGGCATAAGAACTTGCAAATACGATTTCTGTTTAGCCATAGGGCTTGAGAATCAAACCAGGAACCCAGGTTCCTGACAATTGGCTTTGCTAGTGTTCACTACACTAGGATGTGACGGAATTTCCGCAAAGGCACTTAAACTAGCAGCACCTAACATTTCTCATGGGGTCTGTCTTACCTTTTCAGTGAGTCGCTTCGCACTGGTCAATTTCTATCTGTCTGGAAAATAGCCAGAGGGTAGCGCCACTATTCAAAGGAGGCTCACCAACCGATTGTAAAAATTATCGGTCTATTTCGGTATTGCCTTGTATTTCGAAGATCATGGAGTCTTTTCTTAACACCGACTTACAAACTTTGCGTAAGAGGTCGGTCTCATAGAACAGCATCAATTCGCCTACTCCAAGTTTTCTTCAACGATAGTGGCATTGTTCAGAGTAGTAGACTATCTAAAGCATGTTAAAATTGTGATTTTGTGCTATCTGCAGACGATACCGAGATTCATTTTAGTTTTAAAGACGTTGGCAAGACCGAGTATAGAATTAACGAGGATCTCGAAAGCATTAACTAGTGCTTCTCTAACAATGGTCTTATTTGTAACACGAAAAAGACGGTGACAATGGTTATTGCTTCACACAGGGCAGTCAAAACTGCCAGAGATGTTCGTATATATTACGGTGATTCGCTTCTAGAGCAGAAGAGATCCTTTAAGTACCTCTGTGTGATAGTAGACGAATCGTTATCTTGGAGCAGTCACATATCTTATGTCGCCTCCAGAGCCTACCCTAAACTTAAGTTGCTGAACAGGATTTTGTCCTTTCTGGATCCAACTACCCTTTTGAAGCTTTATAAAGCGACAATTTTACCTATTTTAGATTACGGTTGTACTTTATGGGGATCTTACTCCAAGAAGAACTCTGATGTTTTAGAACGATTACAAAACAAAGCTATGAGGATCATCAAACCACCTGTTGTTCGCAAACGATGACAGACAACCTATCTCGGACTTTTAACGCTATCTAGTAGGCGAAGATTTATTCCTCTTCAGGTAGCATTCAAAATTGTCAATTAACAATAAGCTTTGTCCAACGAAATTTTATGATTACATGACTTTGAGATCCGAATGCCGTGGTAGAACTTGGAGAAATTCATCTGCCTACATTGTAAAGTAAACTCTACTGTTGGCCAGTCTACCTTTAAATTCACAGGAGCAAAGGATTGGAACGAGTTACCTAATGAATTACGGGTTCATGGCCTAACATTAGGATAGTTTTAAAAGAAAGACATTTAAGTATTTGCAAGAACAAGACAAAACACAACATAAATGTAGATTGTAGATTAATTCATTTTAATTTTTAACACCTTTTGCATTGTAAATATTTGTCTTTCCGCTTTTTTATTATGTACTATTGTTTTTTTTTTAATCTTGAAATATTTTATTATTGCACTTAGGTTTATACCATCTGTTTTTTTATACTCAGCTGGTCTATTTTTTTGCCGTATAAATAAAGTATTTATTATTATTATCATTATTATTAGTATTATCATTTCTCTACG